TGAAGGACACTGAACCGTACGAAAACGTAAAGGCAATACTTGCGAATGCGCTGTGGATGCGACCAAAGCGAGTACGCAACTTACCGGCCTTCGAAAGCTTTCAGTTATGGCCTGCACCAGAATTTCAACACCACCTCTCATTCGTAACTACGAAAAAAGTAAGCTTCTTCATAACTTATGCAAATTATAATATATATTTAACATCTCAACTGCGGTTATAATATATACTTAACAGAAAAGCACATCATGTGAGAATAAGACGATATTTATGTTACTGGAGTGATGTCCCCAATGTCATACACTGCGAAAGACTTTCACAATTCTTTGTACGCCAATTTCATACACATGTTCACATCATCAAAGATTCGCGTGTCATCCATCGCTGCAGAAATTTAAGGGCGGTTCATTGGCTGACGGGCATCCTAACTTGTTCAAACTTTAGCCGGCATTTTCGTCATAGACACTATAAAGACGGGCAGCTGTCCCGTGTTTATCTTCTACACTGCAATGGAAAGTGAAGCAAGTGCTTATACTGCTGTTAAATCATTTTCGAGCCTGCGGCAAACTTTATTTCACGCGCCCCTTAATTAATTTTCCTAGCTAACAACGTCATATAATTCTGTCAGAGCTTAAGAAATAGCGGATGTTCTAATGAGCGATTTTATCGTTAGTTTATTACACTTAAAACTGAATAATCACACATTCATCATAAGAATATCAAATCCATCATCGGATTACTAACAGGGAAACTACCCCCAGATACGGAGGTTAGCTGTGATAAGCGTACAGTCGCATACAGGCATCGGTGAGACTACCAGGGCGAGGTAAAGTTTGACCTCCTCAAGTCAAACCCTTAGAAATGGGCATAATTCTAATGACAGACTCGTGTTGAGGCTAAACCGATCTGCCCTTTTTAAATAAGCCACCAGTGTCATCAAGAACAAACCAAGGATCGTCAAAGGATAGAAGAGAAAACGGATACAATGGCCACGAATATTTTGGAGAAAGTGTCGCTCGACGGACTTCGCTTCAAGCTAGAGTTGTTTTCTGCCCAACCTCAAACGTTGGCAGGGGATCGGTAACGCTTATGATTCCGTCTAACGCGTCTGCCAGCGCAACTTGAAAGGATAAGCGGTAATCCAAACTCAGTGACGGGCAGATGTATTATTACACAAAGCCATAATTTAAAAAGATAAACAGTCAGCCAGTGGGCCAGGTTCGATGACCGCTGATCCGTTCAGGTTACAGGGGTAGACAAGTCACGCAGCGTCTCCAAGTTACTGATCCGGTGCCAAGGTCCAAGATGCTGTAGATGGTCCTCTATGAGTCCAGGCATGCATGCCTGGGGCTATGTATACATGTATGTATCGATTGGTCCTCTATGAGTCCACGGAATCTGGAGAAAAGTTGTCGAGACACTGGCACCAGTTTATTCTCTGCCCTCCACCGGGTATTCCGCTGGCCGGATGAGCAAGTAGCGGCAGTTTCGCCTTCCCTTCCGAAAACATTCGTAAGAAATGCAAGAACCATTCCAGCTACGAGTTCTCAATCTGAAAAAATAGCAGCTGTACACCAAGACTCTGTCAGATATCTGTACTGCGGATCATTTCGAAACGGGTGATGAATATAGTGATTTTTCTCAGCAACCGTTTCAAACGTTTTTACCGCGATCGGAAGTTTTCAGTCATTGCCATAGGTGATCACAACGATGATGATCGACATGAGCACAGGGAGCTCATTCATCAAACGGACCTCTGCTTTAGCGACAACGGGTCGAGTTAGTACACCAGAAATGTCACTAGCCATTCTAATTCGCCGGTTGGTCTTTTCGCTCCGTTTTCCATCACCAAGTAACTCGATTTTGAGGTAAGTTAATTTCTCTACCTGTTGTACTGTTTCTCTGCTTCTGCGCAGAGCGCAACGGGCAGGAGAACGAGAAAGCACTAGGCTTTTCGTTTTAGACACGTTCACGTGCAAGCCGACCTCGTCGCACTCGGTCATCTCCGAACTCTTCCAGAGAACTATGAAGGCCAGTTTCGAAAGCTGCCAACAAAACGAGGTCGTATGCAGACAGCTACCTTCTCGTCTCCACATCTCCTACACCGATAGACTCATCTCCTCAGCTCCTCCTGACTCTTCTATCCATCTACAGCACAAACAGGAGAGGGGACCGGAGGCAGGCTTGGCAGAGACCAGTGCCAACGTTGAAAGGTTTTTCGACTTAACGCCATTTACTCGTGCAGCACCTGCTATCAACACTTAGTAATTGGATCGCCCGCAGCAGCTGTCCTTCAATCCCTTTTGTTCGCAGGCACATCCAGAGGTTTTTTTGCAGGATTCGGTTATAGGCTTTCTCTATGTCCACAAAGCACACATACACTGGATGGGCAAACTCCAACGATTTCTAGAGTTCGGCGAATATCTGCTCAGATGTGTTACGGCCGGGCCAGAAAACACGCCGTTCTTCCTGTATCTTGGAGTCAGTTATTCTGCGGCAACTCTTTAACAGCAACTTCGTCAGACTTTTCCTGAAAGGCTCAATGAGGTAGTCACCTTATAGTTTGAGCTCTATCGATGGTCCCCCTTCTTGAAGAGCGATACAGAAACGACAGTTTCCAGTTCACTGGCGTCTTCTCCATAGATATTATAGTCTGATAGACACGTGTAAACAAACATATTCCTTGTTCGCCTAAAGCTTTAAGCATTTCAGGGCAGATTTCATATATTACAGCAGCCTTCCCACTTTTCAAGCGTTACAGCTTGTAAAAATCCATCTACTGAGAAACTAACAGCCATCCCTTCTGCTCATCAGCCGAATGATCCTGCTGTTGTTCGTGATAAAAAAGCTCTTCAAAGTATTCTTTCAGTTACCGAATTATGTTCTCACCTACCATGAGAGGGAGTTCAGACTTGTCCTTCAAGACTTTTAGGCTCCCGTTCTTTCCATTCGGAGGCAGCAGATGGTCTGTCGTCTAGAAATTCGACTCCGGCACTTCACCAAACGCCTCCCAGGAATCAGTTTTCGTTTTGGCCATTATTTTTGCGGCGACGGTTTCCTCATTTTCCTACTGCATTCCAGTTGAAGGTATTTCGCTTCCAGGTCATCTCCTGAATGGTCTTCTTATCACTATGGGTTCAACTTGAACCACTGCGGTCCACTAGGAACATCGTTTGTGACCTCCAAGCGGCAAGCCAGTAAATATTTAGCCACAGTATTAAGAGGCAGTCCGCAGCGGAGTAAGCAGCTCTCGTCATCACCGCGATCTGATCAAACGTCGTAGAATGTTGCTAATATGTTGCCCTCGTATCCGCAGAACATGCCATGTCCCATTTGATTTTCTCGTTGCCTTTGTCGCCAGGCCAGGTTTCCTATGATACTCCATCGTTTACAGCGGGATGCGTTCAACAAGGTGATGATCGGTTGATGGCTCTGCGCTTCTCTGAACGTGAATATCCGTTACAGAGCGTCTTAGGTCAGACGATACGATTATCAAATCGATCATCGACTTCTGTGCACAAGCTTCCAGGTACCAGGTGTACTGATGCACTTTTCGATGCTCGAAGAAGGTGCTCATAATAGACAATCCGTTGTTCGCAAAAAACCGCAACAACTTCATGCCGTTATTATTGAGGTCGCTAGGGTCGTTTTTCTCAATCACGCCGTTCCACTTTCCAGTGTCTACTCCGACGTGCGCATTAAAATCGCCCATCAGTATTCGGCACTTCGAGCACACTGCACTTCCTCAAGAAAGGCCTCATATCCTCCTTCCAAATTGGGCGCATACACCCATACCAAGGTTATAGCGTTAGCCTGTTGTTGCTTCAGTCTGAGGATTGCCATTCTTCTGATGGTAGGCTTCTATTCAATGATTTTATTAGTTAGTGCGGTTCTTGCAGCACACTCCCACCGGCCTGAGCGTCTTTAATCAAAACGACAAGTGAGAAAAATAGCTTCCTCCCGCGGAAGTTTAGAATTCCAGAACCTCGCCGCTTCGTTGGTGAGAATCCAAGCATATCGAATTAGTACTTTGCAGTCTCATTAACTGGCTCCTGCTCTGTCCCTCTTG